GGGCTCCCTGCTCAGTGGGAAGCCTGCTTCTCCCTCTCCCACTCCCCCTGCTTGTGGTCCTGCTCTCGCTATCTCTCTCTGTCAAATAAATAAATAAAATTTTTATTAAAAAAAAGGCTTCTTTTCCCAATGAATTGTCTTGGCACCCTTGTCAAAAATTGGTTGACTATAGACACAGTTTTATTTCTGGATTCTTATATTTGATTTCATTTATCCATTTCTCTATCTTTGTGTTAGTATCATACTGTCTTGATTATTGCTGCTTTGTCGTGAGCTGTGGGATCTGGATCCTTTGCGATTCCGTATGAACTTTAAAATATGCAATTTCATATGAATTTTAAAATAAACTTGTCAAGGGGCGCCTGGGTGGCTCAGTTTTTAAGCATCTGCCTTCAGCTCAGGTCATGATCCCAGGTCCTGGAATGGAGCCCCACATCAGGCTCCCTGCTCAGCGGGAGGCCTGCTTCTCTCTCTCCCATTCCCCCTGCTTATATTCCTCTCTCGCTATCTCTCTCTCTGTCAAATAAATAAATAAAAAATCTTTAAAAAAAATATTCTCTCTGTCCCTTAAATAAATAAATAAATAAACTCATCAATTTCTACAAAGAAGTCAGCTGGGATTCTGATGGAGATTTCACTGAATCTGTGGATCACTTTGGGCAATATTGCCATCCTAGCAGTACTAAGTCTCTAATCCATGATTATGGGATTTTTTTCCCACTTATTTAGGTCCTCAAATGTCTTTCAACATGTTTTGTAGTTTTCAGAGTATAAGTTTGAGCTTCCTTTGTTGACTTTCTTTCTAAGTATTTTATTCTTTCTACTGCCACTGTAACTGGATTTTTTCCTAATTGCATTTTCAAATTGTCTCTTGCAAGCATCTATGAGAAATACAAATTAATTTTGTATATTAATCTTATATCCTGCAAACTTGCTGAACTCATTTATTAATTCTAATACTTCAGTTAATTTTTAGTAGGTTCCTTAGTATTTTCTATATACAAAACCATGTCCCCTGCAAATAGAGATACTTTTACTTCTTCCTGTCTAATTCTTCCTGGATGCCTAGTTGAGCTAGCAAGGATCTCCAGTACAATGCTGAAAAGAAGTGGTTAGAGCAGACATCCTTGACTTGTTTCTGATCCTAGGGAGAATGCACCCAGGCTTTCACCACTAAGTATGTTGTTAGTGTGGGTTTGTGTACGTGCCCTTTATCTAGTTGAGGGAGCTTTCTTCCATTTATAGTTTGTTGAGTGTTTTTATGATGAAAAGGTGTTGGGTTTTGTCAAATGCTTTTTCTGTGTCTACTAAGATGATCATGCAGTTTGTTTTTCTCTTCTGTTGATTCTAATGCTATGTAGCATTTATGATAAAAATGGAAAATACTAGTATTAAAATACTAGTAACTAAATAAAGTAACTCGATAAAAGATATCCTCCAAACACATTTATAAAAAAAAAATTAGCCAAGAATCATTCCAATTTCCTTGTGGTAGAAGAAAAGAGAGTTTAATAAAAATTTTTGAGATGTGTCTTAAGATGATTTCTGACTAATTTTAAGTTTTGTGTTTGATGGTATTTAAAACATATTTTACATTTCTTTTCAAAATATGTTGCTCATGAGAAGTAGCAGGTGGTACTGGAATGGACACAGGTTTTGGAAGCTTAGACAGGTTTGAATCAGACTCTGTCATGCGTTAGTTATCTGATTCTGGAAAGTTCTTTAACCTCTTTAAGCATCTGCTTGAGAAAACTGTAAACAAGGCTATTAACAGAGTGTTGTGAGAAGGACGATAAAGCACTGGGAAGGGCCTGGCTGAGTGACCCACTAACAGTCAGCAATAGAGTGAAGCGGGTAGGAGGGCAAGCTCTGCAGCCTGACTGTGAGGGTTCCAACACTGGTCCCAAACCCCAGTAAGTATGTGAACATGACAAGTTATTTAATCTCTCTGTGCCAATTGTCTATCTGCAGGCTACAGATAAAATTAGGAACTCACATAAGGATACTGAGAGGAATAAATGAGCTGATATCTATAAAACATACAGCAAGCCCTCTGAAGTATGAATTGTGATTATGAAATTAAGATAGCATTAAGCAAGGATTAATAGAATATGTAAGATGGGGGGGTACTGGGAAGGAAGGACGGCTGGTGGAGAGGTCTTGTCGGGCTTGTCCTGGGAACATAGGGCACTGAGAGTCAAATAAAAAAGGCATAAAGTCCAACCTCCCAGTGATACACGGAGGCTCAAATAGTGGCAAACAGGTGCAGAGGTCATGTCTGCAGAGACCAAAGGTGGGGCTCAAGATAGGCAGGGCAGAGCCAAGTATTTAGAGTGGGGCTAAGCTGGAACTGCAAGCAAGAGTTGGGGGGGCGTGGCTCACTTCTGTGGGCCACCCAATTCATGGTATGTGGGTGAGATAGGCTAGTTTAAGGGGCTGGAGAAAGTCTGACAAAAGGATGAACACAAAGAAGGAAACTGCAGGAGAGCTCGTATTACAGTATTCCAGAAGGCGACAGTTCAGTCATATTAGTTCCTGTGTTTTATAATGAAAGATGTGTCCAGGCAAGAGGGAGTCATGATTTCCCAAACACTATTGCCAAATCTGTGAATTACAACATTTATTGCATTTTAGCTCTTCATATGTGTAAGATGGTCAACTTTTCAAAATATGTTCACATCTCCTAGCCCATTGGTTAATCCTGACATCCCTTTTGTATAGGTGAGGACAGTGCTGCCTAAAGAGGTTAAATTTACTGACATTGCCCAGCTACTGGAGATGGAGCTAAGTGGCAGCCTAGCCCCTAGACCCCCAGTACCTGTCCCCCTGGGCCACATGGCCAAATGTATCACCTTCAGCCACTGCAGAGCACTGGTAGGTGCTTGTGGTCCCGATCTAGAATAAACTTACAATCCAAACTTGAGATAGGTACCTTTTCTAATCCTGCAGAACCTCGGAGAAAGAAATTCCATTCAGCATCAGTTAAGTTTTCTTGCTGACGCATGATCTCAACACAGAGCATAAAGCTGTAGATGAGTTTATGTTGTTCAAAAAGTCCTCTTGAAACATTGACATAAGCGGTTAGAAGAGTTTGTTCCAGCAGTATTTCCAAGCGCTGCTGTAGATCATCTGTCCTTAGAGAAGTCTCGATTGTTGTATTGAACAACTGTGCAAAAGAGAGCTCTATCAATCTCTGATTTAATTCAATTTCTGTGGAGGAAAAAAAAAAATCCCTGCTCCTCACTCCCGCCCTTCGGGACCCTGTATTCAGTGGGTAAATAGCAGCACAGGAGAGGACTACTGTACTATGAAAAAGTCCAGAATTCACCCCAAATTGATAAGTTATTGATAGTTATTCCCCTACCTCTCCCCATTTTTCAGAAATGAACCACTGCGAACCCTTGACAATATACAAAAGGCATCATCTTGATGTGAGGCGGAACACAGGAAAATGGAGGTGAGCTGCCATCACCCATTTTTTCATATTCTTAACTCGGATTTGATAATCACTTTGGGTGAGAGACAGAAGGGCAAGGTAAGGTCATGTGCTCTTCTTGGCACTCCCCCAAGATCGTTAGGATGTGGGAAGAATGGGCTAGGATTTCGCCAAAATTTAAGGGAAAGCCCTTGTTAATTCTCCCCAAAGTTTGGTTGACAAAGGGAAACAGAGGTGTTATTTAACACACTTAGAAGAAAAGAGGATTGAGCTTTCTTTAACAACCTGACAAGAAGCAGACAAGTTCAAAATCCAGGGAAGGTGTGACGCTTGGTGCCAAAATAAAACATGGCAAACCTTGACACACACTGGTAGCTGAGAGAAATTTTGGTGGTGAACAGAGTGTGCTACTGGGGATGCTGGGTAAGTTCTGCTGTATAATGGGTGAAGCAAACTCCCTGTCTCCCCTGGAAATCTTCGGGTAAATTGATCCTGCTTGCTCAAGTTTTGTGACATTGCATCTGCTCTTGGGAGAGATGGACTGCTGCCACAAAGAGGATGAGGGGTGAAAGTATCCTACTCATGAGAAATCTGATTCCACAGTGAATATGAGATGAAGAAGAGAGACCATACAAAAAACAAAAGTTGCACAGTAATATCAGTAATATGGTGGAAGTGGGAAGCAACCAAGGACAGGAGAGCAGGCCATGTATGATTTGTCTAAAAAACGTTGGGGAGGTGCGGTGAGGGATTGGGATAGCCTGTTGTATAGAAAGTTCTGGGGACAAAGATACAGAAACCAATTTGCTTAAGGTCAGTGCTGTCAGAGACTTGAGATACAGCACAGTAAAAATCTAATAGGGGAAAGGAAGTTGGATTATTGTAGAGAGAGTATAAAGAAACAGCATGGAGCTATGAGTCTGAAAAGAAAAAAAAAAGGCAGGCAAGAAAGAAAACCAACAAGCTAGTTAGCCAAGGAGGCCAAGAGAAAGTCTTTCTTTTCTTTCTCTGCAGTTTTCTGTGCATACTGGGCACTTGAGTGTTGAGAAGACATGGCAGGTGGAGTCACTCTTGAACAGGTAAGTCTGAACCCAAGCTCCTAGAGGGTCTTACTTGATAACTAGACTCACAAACTGTCTGAGGCTAAAGTAACTCAACTGGGTTTAAAGGGAAACCAAAGAAATAAAGTTCACTGACAAAACAACACACTTACCTGTTTAAAGTATTTTAACGAATACTGGTACATAGGATCTATTTCTGAGAGGCTTGCAATAACAAAGTACATGACGGAGCCTTGAGTGGCTACTGGACGGTACTTCTCACGAGCGACATTGATCATCATTTCAGTGGACTCGGCTTCCTTTAGCCTGATTTTAATGGCACCAGAAGTGATCTGAATAAAGATATGAAAACAAGTTCTTAAGGATCCCTTTTTTAAAAAAATGGTAGGATTTTTGGAGTATATCCAGTTAGGTCTAGGAAAGAAATAAGGACACAGTGAATTAGTGATTATAATAAGGGGGTCCCCAGATAGAACGACTGAATCTCAGGTCTCTGTGACCTTCTTCTGACTGAGCTGACCTCTTTCCTTCCAGAACATGGAATAGGCAGCCGGGAACAGGCAACACAAGAAGCCCTGACAAGCTGGAGCAGCACTTCTCTGAGACTTGACTCTGAATGACTTCTGGAAAGGAAGCACTAATACAGCACTCCCAGTTGCTCCCTGACTTCCCCATGAGCAGTCCTCAAATGATGTGGGGTTCGAATAATGAGAGAAGGTATAAAGGGAGAAGGGGCATCCATGAAACTGCCCCAAAGAGGAGGGTGGAGAGAGGCTGGAAGGAAGTGGTATCACATCCCACTCTGGATTAATAAGGAAGACTAAGATTCTCTTTCTTTCCCTAGTGTTCCCAGGTGTAGACATAAGGCAACCTGGGGATAGTAGCTGTTGTTTGTGAAGGGTTATAAAGCTAAGTTGTTGGAGATGGTTGTGAGGTCTTTGCTGTTCTTTTGGTTTTCTGTTTTGGGTTAGTGGCTCTGGTCAATGGGCTTTCTAAGGTTCCCTTCTCTGGCTCCCTCAGTTTCTCTATATTGCTGCCTGTCTGTCCTCCTCTCCCAACCCCCATTTCTTTCAGCTGTGGATATTCCTCAACTGGGAATTTGTCTCTAGAAAGTCAAAGGGTCTAGGTCAGGGACCATGAAAAATCACTGTGGGAACTGCTGTTTAGTGTTGGCTCCACTGAAAGGAGAGCTAAAAGGGAGTCTGAGCAAACTTTCTGTCTAGACCCCACTGCCCAATAGAAACATAGTGTGAGCCACATATATAATTCTATCTCTTCTAAGTTTATTAAAAGTAAAGGAAACAAGTGAAATTAATTTTAACAATAATTTTATTTAGCCCAATAGAACCTAATATATGTTGATTATATTAGCATTTAATCCATTTAAAATAAACTGAGATTTTTAACTTTTTTTTTGGATTAAGTCTTTGAAATCTAGTGTGTATTTTACACTAACAACACATCTTAATTCAGGCTAGCCACATTTCAGGTGCTCAATAGCCACATGTGGCTAGTGGCTAAGTTCTAGACTGTCGACCCCTGTCCTCCAAGAGGGGGAAGGGAGGGACTCAGAGCTTTTTCCAGGAATCAAAGGCTCAAACTCTCTTTGTATTAACCACTTAGGAACCTGAGGGGACAAGAAAGGGTAGAGTTGAGTGGAAAACCTCGGTCTCAATATTGGACTCAACTAAAGCATTTACATATGAGTAGGAAAAAGAAAGTTGATATAGGAGCAGTTGGATCAAGGAGACCCACCTGTAAACAATCCTTGGAGGAGCCCAAGGCCCTGATAATGAAGAATGCAGGGCTAAAGAGAAAGCAGACTACTTTCTTCTTTTTGCCAGAGAATATTAGAAGACTATACACCTCAGTTGAGCTTAGTAACTACTTATAGATTTTATGTCCAAGAGACTTGAGGCCTCAGCAGTGATTAGAGAATATGACATATATTTTAAAATGAGGGCTCTGGGGGGCACCTGACTGGCTTAGTTGGAGGAGCATGTGACTCTTTATTTCAGGGTTGTAGGTTTGAGCCCCATGTTGGGTGCAGAGATTATTTAAAAAAACAACCAAACAAATAACTTAAAATAAAATAAGGGCTCTGGGAGTTTAAGGGAGTATAAACTATAGGCAGGAAGTGGTAGGAAATGAAGCCCAGAAACAATCAGTCCTATCCCTACCTGATAGAAAGGAAATCTTCGAGGCAACTCCCTGCAGACACAGAAACCAGCTCACAGAGAAAGAAGGCAGTCAGAACACATGTATCTACCTTACTCCCTACTGAAACCATGATACAATTATAGTAAAGGGATTTTTTAAAACAGTGCAAACCCACAAAGATAGGAAGAATGGAAGAGGAAATATCAATTAGCAATAATCGCGCCTCGGATAAACCTCATTGGCTACGATACTGTCACGGCGCAAAGCTTGGAAGAGGAAATATCAGTAAAATTTTGAGAACTGGAAAGCAGAGAGTAGAGTGGTAATGACTTAGCAGACGCAGGAAAATAGATTCCTAAGCTGGCAAAGGGAAAAGCCAAAAAGTCACCCAATTTGTAAAACAGGATCCCCGTCAAAGGCTTAAGAATTCGTGGCATCCAACCCCTGGAAGTGGGAAGGGCCTAAAATAAGAATTGGTTGATAGACTCCTAAGTCATCTCCCCACCAGGCAGGGGGTTGTCCCTTCCCCACTCTGACTGAAAAATAGAGGTTTCTTCCTTGGGGAAATTAAAAGAGAGGATTTTTTGATGGAAGGAAGCCAGGGATAGTTGAGGGCCCGGTACCATAATGAAAACAAAGAGATTAGGTAAATGTATACACAATGGATACTAGGATACCCTAGCTCTTCTCCTGTCCTCAGCCCCTAAAATACTTGCAGCCAGATCTTCATACTTCTAGGCAATGTAAACATTGGATATGTAACTATAATCAGAATATAAGTACAGAGGGAGGCTAGGGGATGGGAAGAGTGTGTGTGTGTGTGTGTATGTATGTATGTGTATGGTAAAAGTATAGACAACAGTGAATGGTTAAAAGAAAAACTCAAGAAGTAGCAATATGAGTCTATTATTTAGAGAAAAGATGTAAAACCCCAAATAAGCAAAACAAAAAAGAAGAACATAGTTGTTTTTATGGAGGAAGTCATGGATGGTGGTGGTGGTGGTGGGCATAGAGAAAGCAGGGAATGCTATCGCAAAACTTGTACAAGTATTTCATTCCTTAAGTAATTTGCATGTAAAGCTTTGTTTATTTATTTATTTAAAGCGCATGAGTGGGAGGGGCAGAGGGAGAGGGAGAGAGGGAATCTCAAGCAGACTCTGCACTAAGTGCGGAGCCCAATGAGGGGCTCAATCCCATGACCCTGAGATCATGACCTGAGATGAAATCAAGAGTCGGACCCTTAACCAACTGTGCCACCCAGGTGCCCCTCATGTAAAGCTTCGATAAAATAAATAAATAAATAAATGGGTTAACCACTGACTTCCAGAAACTAAAAACCCAAGGAAGAATGAATGGAAAGAGGATAAAGAGACTGACAAACCAGCAAAGAGAGAAAAGAAATGGGAGACCCAGAATGGGATCTCAAGAGACTGTAGGATAGAAAGCAGTATCATTTCTGATGTCAATGAAAGACAAAGGACATAAACTTCTGTATTCCATGTCAAAGGGTTTTTTTTTTAGTAAATTACTTTCTGTTTCTCATGAATGGATGAAAATCATTTTATAGGTTTTATTTCCAGCATACTTTTAAAATTATGGTCTGAATGAGAAACAATTTAGTACAAGATTATATGTTTAATGTAAAACTTCATCTTACTATTGTGACATTTTTATTGAGCGCCAGTTATATATAGGGCACCATGGTTAGCCCTTGGAGAAGGAGTATCAAGCTGAACTAGTCACAGATTCAACACCAAACTGAATGGGCTAACGAGATTTAAGACATGGGATTCGATAATGGTGACATAAGGTAAACAATGTCAAGGGCTGTAAAAGAGGGTCAGGTAAGTTGCTACAGGTGTTCCAAGGAGGAAGAGATTAATTCCAGCTGGGCAGACCAGGGAGGCTTCCCGATGGAGATGGCACTAATGTGACTATAACTGCTTTTCCTTTCAACTTGTATCCTGTCCCAGTTCTTTATGTTACATGCTTGAATAAAAAAATGCAGACAAGACAAGAGGAGCAGTTGTCTACGATTTACCTCCTCTTCCATTGTGGGGTGAGGGGCCCTGCTAGCTAGGTTCATTCTTGCGCGATGCTGGCCACCCTGGTGTGGCTGCCATTCTTGCTATAAAAGATTTGCGGGACCCTCAAAAGCGGCAGTTGTAACTTTTGAAGCAATACACTTTCTATACATACTAAAAATATTTTACTTGCCTTTGAATCCTGGAGTGTGTCAATAAGTTCTTCATTGTCCAGGATATTTCCTTCCGATGTAAAGAGCATTCTCAGGATTTTCTCCTCGATAGTTTTCAGCTGGTTTTTGTCAGTGTTGATCCTCACAATGAGCTTGATTCTTTGTTCCTCCAACTCGGGTTTTTCGAGTCGTACCACATCACTGGAACCAAAGTTTGAATACTTAAATTATGGCTTTATCAGTGCCCTGAAGTTGCTTCTATTTTTCTTTACTACTTAGCTGAGTACTAATGCTACTAGCCAAGTCCTAGTGCATAAGGCGCCTCTTCGCTGGGTTGACCAGGTGGCTATTCACTGAATGACATGTTAGTTCTGATTATCTTCTATTTCAAAACTGACAGTCTCCCACAGTCCCCATAGCTTCTGCTCATCTTCTCTTCAGAAAACCTGCTCAGTGCTTGATCCCCTAATCATTCAATTTCTGTATCTAATGCTTGCTTGTGCCAGGCTGAAAATGGTGCCTGGAATATTCTTTTGATGGGAGATTCCGAAATCCCACCACCTCCATGAAGTGAGTCTTGCCTGGGTCTCATAAAAGCGCCTTACCTCCAGCTCCACCCCTGTCAAAACATGTGAACTTAGATCTCCCTTCATTTTTGCTTTCGTAATCCCAGCCCTGTGTTTGCAGGAACTAATCTTTATTAAGCGTCACTCTGTGCCAGGCACCCTGCTCAGAGTTTTATGCGGATTCTCTTGTAATTCTTTGAATGCTCCTGTGAGGTAGGCACTGTGGTTACCACAGACCCTAGTGGGTCACTTCCTGAGCTCACGTGGCTCTGAGAGGCAGAGCTGGGCTTGCATCTGGCTTCGCTGACTCCAGGGCACGTGCTTTACCTGCTAGAATGAACGGCCTCATTGTTCATTTTTATGTACATACCGAGTTCAGAAACTTTAAAAGTTATTATATGAACACCATAAGAAATTATCATCTCAAGTTCATTTGTTTAAATAATTTTTTCAGAAGAGAGGAGTATAAACTAGAACCCAGAGATTCTGTATCCTACACTGGAGGCTCAACATTCTTGCTTCCAGGGTACTTGTCTGTGTCCCTGCAGTCTAACATGCTGACAGCTTGTGACACAACTAAGCGGAACTCCTCACGGGAGTGCACGGGTATGAAAACGGTTCAGCCATGTCCTTAGAATATGTCCGTAAAATGTGCTGAAATACCCTTTGTCCGGAAAGAAGTTAGCCTGGCAGAAATTAAGCAAGTTAGTGGCTGGCAGAATAGATTCCTAAAATAAACAAGGAAAACGAGACTTAAACTCAGTGATAATGGAATAAATCAGGATAATCTTGACCCAATTTTGACTTGACTCAATGAATATGACGACTTATTTTGAACGTGGGTCTAAATAATCTTTTCCTTTAGAGCTAATGTAGTATATACACATACACACATACATACACATATACTCACACACACATATATAATATATAATGAGTTTTTAACCATATAAATTTATTATTTCAATAAATCCTTACAATTTTTTTGTCTAAGCCTCTTGGCTAATTCTTTTTTTTTTTTT